ACTTAATTAATAATACGCTAATACGCCATTAAATAGATTTCTTGCAATACATCCATAGCTCTCTAATAAAACTATGTGAACAAAGTTGGAACTGCCTGAACTGCCAAGTGAACCTTGAAAGATAACAATACTCAAGTATTGAAATAACCTATTATCTCATTACTTGTTAGCAGCATTTGTAGCATTTTCAAGCTCGTTGTCAGAGACTCTCATGCCGAGCAATTTGATCACATGCCTGACACTTATTTTTCTATATTTAAGCAAAGCACCCCAAAAAAAAAAAAAAAAAAAGGAAAAATGGCAAAATAAAAGTTAAAATTTTAAAAATTGAACGTGATCACAAAATAGTGCTGCATTAGATAACATTTACCTAACTATTCCTTTTTTTCAAATAAAATGTTAGAGATGAGTCAAAGAAACAATTCCTTTTTTTTCGAATAAAATGTTAGAGCGGAGTCAAACAACTTTGACATGTCACCAAAATATTTTACAAAATTGACTCAACTTGAGAGATTGTAGGTTGCAAAACTTGGATCTCTAATCTTACCCTTCTAGCGGATGACTCGTGTCTAAAAATACTTGCCTAAAAATACCACCTAGTGAAATTGTCCATACACAAATGGTGATATAGGATAAAAAATTCCTTTAGCCTTCTAACAGTTTGAAAAATTAAAATGACAAAATTAGAGTGTAAAAATCTGAAGTACCATACAACAATTAAAACAAAAAATTACTCATGCTTACGATACTCCTAAATTGAACACTACTAGCAAAACTAATTAACGGTGCCTACTTAATTAATAGCACGACTAAATATGCCATAAATAACTTGTAATACATCCAAGCTCTCTAATGAAACTATGTGGAAAAAGTTGATATCTGTCTGAAACTGCCAACTGAACCTTGAAAGATAAATAACTCAAGCACTGAAATAGCACATTATCTCATACTCTTAGCACTTGTAGCACATTCAAACTCACTATGTTAAAAAAAAGGATACAAAGTAAAACAAAAAATAAACCCAACAAAAGTAACACAATAGCCAAATTTATTAGATTGATGTAATTGAGTTATTAACATTGAAAAGAGATAACCAATTCAAAACCATCTTCTATATGTGACCAATAGACGTTTTAGCTTAAGTGACATTGTCATATAAAGCTGCCTTGCTTTAGAACTATGTTCACCAACACTCCCTCCATGGACTTGACGCATCCTCCATCTTAGCTATGTCTATTGTCATGTGAGAAAACAAACAATAAGCTCCATTGTTCTAACTACAAAAGGACCAACAAATTAGATTAAAATAAATTTTCTAGTAATTAAGAAATCACCAAACAATAAATTATATAATCTAGTGTGTTTCTTAACAAAAACAAACCCATAGAATAAACCAATCGAAACAAAACCAAGGATAAAGTAATGATAAATTTCTTTCATGAATGGTCAAGAACAAATAAATAAAAAATCTACACCTCCCAACTTGCATTATTAAGGGAAAAAACAAAAGGTCTAGTTTAATTTTTTAATAGGAATATCTCTAAGAAAACATCAAAACCATAGATAATTAATGATATTATAATTTTCAAAAAAAAAATTCTTCGGTGCCACCTCTTTTTACTTAGCTTTGCAAAATTAATGCATGAAAGTCAATAAGTCATTTTGTTGGCAGCAATTCAAAGCTAAAACGGGTCTAAACTCATCTTATATGAAACTCACCTTTTACTTGTCTGATCGCATTGCGGTTTCGTTAGCTCTATAAGAATATTTTTATTCTATCTAAATAGGCTCGTACTCCATTTTCAATCTTGAAATAATTCTCAAAGATTCTATTTTTTCAAGAAAATCAAAATAAGGATACATGCTAATCTACGCAACAAACATTTGTTGATGTTTCAAAATTCAGATTATACATTGTCACTACCCTTGAGAAAAATCCATTAGAAACATGAAATTCAGATCATGACAGCCAAACTAAATTCAAAGTTACATATAAATAACCCACACAATGTATTTTTATTCTATCTAAATAGGCTCTCACTCCATTTTCAATCTTGAAATAATTCTCGAAGATTCTGTTTTTTCAAGAAAATCAAAATAAGGATACATGCTAATCTACGCAACAAACATTTGTTGATGTTTCAAAATTTAGATTATACATTGTCACTACCCTTGAGACAAATCCATTAGAAACATGAAATTCAGATCATGACAGCCAAACTAAATTCAAAGTTACATATAAATAACCCACACAATGTGTAGGAACCATAAGTTTAAACAATGTAAATTTCAAATAAAATTGTATTCTCCTAGAAGATTAATAAATGCTTTTTGACACTGATACACAACAATATAGACAATATAGTGATAACCTATACCTAAAGGCACTCCTTAACAAAACCTAAGCAGTCGGTAGTGTATACAACTCAACATTAACTGAGGAAAAAATTGTATAAAACTCAGTAGTGTATATGTTAAAACTTAAAAAATATTTTTCAAAACCTTTAAAAGTAATTCAGCCATAAATATTTTATTAGCATCGTTCTTTCAACACCAAAAAAAAAATTAAATAAATCCACATTCACCAGGGTTCCTTTCCCTTAACTCTTCCACATTCACATTCCACTATTTCCATGTAGACTAACCAAGAATAACCCAATTGGTGAATGAAATATTGAATTGCCTTTTTTTGGCATTTTAGAAGTTGTTTCTAGTGTAAAAGTTGCTTCAATTTTGTTGCCTTAAATGCAAGAGAAGTAACCAAACAGCTAGTTTCAGCATTCTCATGGCAGCATTAACAGTAACAATATTATAAATTAATGGCTAATTTAATATTCCTTTCATAATCAATTAAGAAAAACTCTACAATTAGAATACAAAACAAATTCTGTATAGAATATAAAAAAAAATCCTGCACATAATATCAAATGAATTCCTATATGAAAATGAAGACAATTAGTTTAGAGATGATAATTTATTGTATTCCATAAAAATATTATTCAAAGGATGTGATCAATCTTAAAAAAAGAAAAAAAGAAAAAACCTATAAACTCAAAACCAGTTAATCCATTTGCTTCAAATAAAAGAATAATGAACTTGAAATATGAATTAACTTATGTTGTTCATGTCAAAACATTTAAGTTCTATTGATTTCTAGAAGGCACACATTGCAAAGTCTAAAAGTATATAGAACATGAACTTGGCATTCATTTTCATTATAACAACCATGTCAAAATTAGAGTGTCATAGTGTTGGTGACAGGTTCATACCCAAATCTTGCACATACCATGATGGAGAGGCTTGAATAGCAATTTCACTCACCTATAAAACTCAAAGCATTATGTGCTACTTGAAATATTTGTGTTCAACAAATGGAATTAAAGTGCAATACTCATGACATACACACGTCAAAGTAGACCAAAAAAGATAACATTCATTTGAATATTTTAACAGGCTTGGAATTGCATTCCTACTTTCTTTTAATGCTAATGCTGTGTTTGGATCATGAATTTAGATAGAGATTTGGAAAGGGAAAGGAAAATAGAGAAATAATTTAGATTATATTCCATTTACATTTCACTAATTCTTTTCCTCTATCTTTTCAAAATCCTACCAAAATCCATGATCCAAACACACCTACGAAGATTATACAACACATCGTCCAACCAATTGGAAGAGAATCAATAGATTCCTTTTCGGGAGCGATCCATCCTAGAGATTTTCATAAATATATGTCTTTTTTAAAAAAACATAAGCATAACTATGCCAATCTTAAGCAATGTTTCTACAGGAGAGGGGAAAAAAAGAAAAAGGTCATATTAGCACCTCCACAATTCAATCCCATGGGAAATTGAAGTGCCAAAAAATGATTATTGAATAGTATTTATTAAGATATAAAGCTCATAGGCATGGCTACTATAGAAACTTTTTAAAAAAATTATAAAAAAAAAGAAGCAAAAAATCATATGCATAATGCATAAGGAAACCATTCTATTTGGAATTATACCATCGGGATTTTTATTAACCCAAGAAAGACAAATTTAGTGATGTACTTTTTGTTAATGTTAAAGTGGCAGATAACATTAAATTTTATTGCTAAGAATATAATTGAAACTACCTAATAGAATTTTAAGCTAATTCAATCAAACTTATAATTAATGTAAGCAAATTCTTGAATCCAAACAAATATTAGCTAAACACACATACATGTTCCTCGAAGAGATAGAGAGAGAAAAAGAAAGTGAGAGGACCAAACATCAATCAATTGAAGAGAAACCCATTACAAATATCTTCTGTTTATTCCCCACCACAAAAGTTTCTCTTTCTTTATCTGATTCAAATCTTAGGAAAGTAAATGCTACATATCAGCCTATTCGTTCTGTTCACAATCGAAAACCTTCCTAACATAATTCAAATTAATCCCAACCAAAGAATCCACATGATCAAAGTAATTAGAAAGTTTTATAGCAATATCCAAAAGTTCTCTTTGTTTTGGGAAGAAAGTTGGGAATGAATCTAAACAATAACAAAAATCTACATGATCAAAGTTTTTCTTCTCTATACAAATCCCAAAAAAAAAAAAAAAGAAAAGAAAAACAAATCACAGAGTAAAATAGAGTGAAATAGTGGATTGTGCTCCAACCAGTAATAAAACTTCAAGAGGGCTCAAACCTTACATCTCTTTGGAAATAGAGCATCCTTGGAACCCTCAAGACAATATCAGACATCCAATTAAAATCATTACTAAAAGACAATAATTCATGACTCAATCAGAAAACCAGAGGCCCAATCGATACTTTATGTTGCGTGTATCAGAGACACAATTAATCCCTAGTTGTAAATGGCCTAATTGATACCCAATCCCTACCCGAAATTTTATTTTAATAAACCCAAGGTATGATAATTGCAAGAAAAGATTAAACCATTGCTTCAAAATTTATTCAACTTTTCAACTCAATAGTAAGCATGATTGATGATTAATTCATAGACTTGTAGAGTCAAGGAAGACAACCAACCAAAAGAAATAGTTAGACAATAAGAAGGAGCAACCATTGCTTCAATAAGAATACAAATCAGATACTTACCTTAGTGTTTGGATGTGATAGGTTCTGAAGAAGTTTTACTTCTTCCTCATGCTCTCTAATGTGATCCTATTAAGCAAATTTTTAAAAAATAAAATAAAATGGAAATGCAATTCAATCAAACAAATAAAATAGTTTTGCCGATCAACCAATCCAAATATATACATAGTTATATAGTACACCACAAAGGCAAACTTTCAAATACAAATTGTAAGAATCTGTAACATAAATGTAATAAAGCAATTAAACCTTTGTTTTCTCTTTTTGAAGCACTATTGATTCTAATTGTAACCTTCATTCAGACATGTACCAATGACAACAAAACAAATGCTATCAAAACTAATAATAATAACAAAATTACTAACCTGCTTGATGGCTGGAAGCTCTCTATAATCTAGCCAAATGCACTACAGGGTGTGGCTGCTTCAATAAGAATCTAATTCTCGATTTACAAATGTTGGAGCCGATGGGTGTTATTCTAATTAACGATAGGAATAAAAATTAGAATTTAAGAATAATTATTGATTGTGATGGGGGATACCCATTGAATCGTGGACTCGAAATCGCTTTAAGTGCTTCAGCCGTTAAAATCAATCACTTGTAGATCAAGCAGACCCAATAAATAAATAAATAAATAAAATTAATAACAATAATTTTGTTTTGAATGAGAGAGCCAACCAACGGAACACAGGTAGAAGCAATGTAACCCAACATTTCTAATATGGATCAGTCACCTGCAACAAAATCACTCGTTTAAATTCGCTTTAAAAAACCAATAGCACATCAAAATGCATATGAGAAATCGGAAGAAATTGTAATGAAGAATAATTGCATCAAAAGAAGCTGTAACATGAAAAATCGCATCAAAATACATATGAGAAATAGGAAAATCAATAGCTATGAATTAAAAAGAATTAAACATAATTATTATGATCAACTGAATTGTATCATTCAATGGTGAAGCAAATAAATCATACAAACCTCCAAATAGAATTAAACTCAAATTTTTTAAGGGGAGCGAATAATTTTCTTTATTAAGACTAAGAGAGTCTTGTTATAAGGAAGAAGAATTTTTGATGGCTGTAAAACCAAACAAAATTAAATTTTAAAACAATTAAAGCTTACCTTGTGTGAAGTATCCATTTTTAGATGATCATGCTCCTTTGAGTTTCCATCCCTGTGATAATGCATACCTCATTTTCTAGTTGAAGCATTATGTATAACAATTAGCAGGCAACAAAAAAAGAATCAAACTTGAAATCAATGTTAATGGGCAAATCTAACTAAAATTAAACCCAAGATTCATTAAATAAAATTAACTGTACTATTTTTTTAAACAAAGATTACAACCAAATACTTATAAAAGATACTTACCACAACTGAAAAACGAAAGAGAGAGAATGAAACTGAATTAAACATAATTAAGTAGAGAAACGGAACAATTAAAAAGAGAATGAGAAACACATAATTAATACTCCAAATGATATAAACAAAATAGTTACAGATGCAAGCTCACAATTTGTTACAAAAATGCTGAGTTTTCATGTGCAAGAGTTCAAAATATATGGACCGTGGGTATCCCATCCAAAGAAAGGCATGCAAAGAACAAACACAAAACAATGATTCTCTCAAACTCTTTATCAAATGAGACTTTGTTCAAAACACATGAAAAAATACATTTTCTCTTCCGAACCTCAACTCAAATGATGCATGACATGATAAACAAAGTCCGATCATCGCCATGCAACTAGATGATAGCAAGAAACAACCAAAGGAGATCAAAGATTCAACCTCAAAACTGCGATCCAACGGTTCAAACCACA